GATGCATGATATCATGAAAGAGATGAAGCAGCAGTGGGAGGTATGGGACATCCGAGCCTTCATGATGATAAGCCTCTCCCTCCAAACATTCCTAATCCTCTTCACCCCTCTCCGTAAGCGCACGTCCACCAATTGGACGATAATGCCCCTGTGGTGCGCTTACCTCCTCGCCGACTGGGCCGCCGTTTACGCCGTCGGCCAAATCTCCAACACCCAAAACAACGGCAAGGGGGACGAGGAAAACAACGTGAGCGCCGACTTGCTCGCGTTGTGGGCCCCGATCCTCCTCGTCCACCTCGGCGGCCCCGACACAATTACCGCCTTCGCCCTCGAGGACAACGAGCTCTGGCTCCGCCACCTCCTCGGCCTCATCACCCAAACCTCCGCTGCCGCGTACGTTTTCTTCCAATCCCTCCCGAAAAACCGACTCTGGGCTTCAATAGTCCTCATGTTCGTCTCGGGCACAATCAAGTGCCTCGAGCGCGTCCTCTCCCTCCACGCCGCCTCACAAAACACCTTCCGAGACTCCCTCCTCAAAGACCCCGACCCTGGCCCCACGTACGCTTCCCTCGTCGACGACTACTACTGGAAGACGAAAGCCCACCTCCCGACCCACGTCGTGCGAATCCGCGAACCGACCCCCGCGAACAAGGGCGTGAACCGGGTCAAAACGGGTCGTTTGACCCGACCCGAGACCATCCTCTACGCCCACCGATTCTTCGAAACTTTCAAGGGCCTTCTCGTCGACCTCATCTTCAGCCAGCGCGAGCGCGACGCGAGCAGATCGTTTTTTCTCGTGAGGAAGCCGCGGGACGCGTTCCGGGTGATCGAGACCGAGCTCAACCTCATGTACGACGTGCTCTTCACCAAGGTAGGGATCGTGTACAGGCGCGCGGGTTACGTTTTCCGGTTCGTCTCGTTCGCGTGCTTCGCGGCCACGCTCGGAATCTTCTACTGCGACGACAAGAGCGGGTTCAGAAAACGTGACGTGGCCATCACGTACGTTTTGCTCGTCGGCGGGATCTTTCTCGACGTCCTCTCGTTTCTCATCATGGTGACCTCCGACTGGCTCCTCGTCGCCACCAAGAAGCTTCCGGACGTCAACATTGAAGAGGATCCACCGAACGAGAACGAAGAAGATCCCGAGGAGGAGTATCACGAGCTGGGATTCTTCCGGAAGGTGGCACGCGTGGCGAGCCGGAGATGGTGCGAGTCCGTGTCGGCGTACAACCTTATATCGTACTGTCGAAACCGACGGAGTCTGGTGAAGGAGGAGTTCACGAGAAGGTTCGGTTTGACCAAGTTTCTCAACCGGTTGCAGTACGTGGAGCAGGTTCGGTTCACGATGGCTCTACGGAACCATATCTTTCACGAGATTCGACGCAAGTCCAAGCTGGCGGATGACTTGGACACCGCGAAAGGGATAAGCGCGGCCAGGGGCGATTGGGTTCTCGGGTTAATGGGTCGATCCAAGTTGCTCGATTACGTGCTCACCGTCGATTACGATCACAGCATTCTTCTCTGGCACATAGCCACCGAGCTTTGCTACGAGGAAAAAGAAGAGGACACCAAGAAAAACGAGAACTACCGGGAATTCTCAAAGATACTCTCCGACTACATGATGTACCTACTGATAATGCAGCCGGCGATGATGTCAGCAGTGGGGGGAATCGGGCAGATTCGGTTCCGGGACACGTGTGCAGAGGCGGAGAAATTCCTCTTCAAGAGGAAAAACGAGAAGGTGAGTCTTTTACAAGTCGTGCTGTACGGTGTGGTGACTTTCTTGAAGTATTTTGTTCTCGTGCTCGTTTTTCCTGTGGGGCTGCCTCTGTTCTACTTGGTGTATTATCCGATTGTAGGGTTTGCTGGCGGGCGCACGGGTGGGTATTTTTCGAGGTGGAGGGGTAAAGGTGAGGAAATTAGCCAGAATAAGGCGTGTGAGCGTATAAGGGAAGTGAACACGGAGGAAATTAAGCCGGTGACGATCAAAGGGGATAGGAGTAAGTCGGTTTTGTTCGATGGGTGTATTCTGGCGAAGGAGCTGAAGAAAGTTGGAGCGGATAAATGGGAGACTGTGAGCAGAGTGTGGGTGGAGATTCTGTCGTATGCAGCGGTGAACTGCAGGGCACACAGCCACGCGCAGGAGCTGAGCAAAGGAGGGGAGCTTATAACGTTCGTGTGGCTGCTGATGATACACTTGGGGCTGGGGAATCAGTACCAGATTAGGCAGGATCAAGGGAGGGTTAAGCTCATGGTGGACCGCTAGATGGAAGCTTTTTCCTTTTTTTTCTTTTTTATTTAGCAAGGAAAATAAGAATAAGAAGGCGATTGAGAGCTTTGTTTCAGTTGTTTCTGTTGTTGTTGAGTGTGTTTTTTGTTCTTGTATTATTTAATTGTTGTTGTTTTTCTCCAAGATTGGTGTGACCGTATGAGAGATAAAGTGCGTATCCTTAAGAGCAATTTCCTTGAATAAACAAGTCTTTCTTTAGTTAACAGTGAACTAGTAGTGTACGGGTAAGCTAGAGCAAATTGTGGGAAATATAAAATATACATATATATACAACTTTAAAATTCATATTTATATATGTGATGAACTTTTTCAATTATCAATATTAGACTTTTTACAATATTAAATATCAAAATTACGCTCTTAATTAGATATGAAAAATAAATTAACATTATATTAACATCTCATCAATCATATATTTATATCCATATGTTACTAAAAATATAAATATTATGACAAAAAATATTAGTAAATCTTTATATCCATATGTAGTCTTTTGAAAGGTTCTGCACGAACGTGAAAAACGGGTCACGAAAGTCGACGGTGGCGGAAAATGAGGGGAGAAGCTAAGATGAGAATTTTGTGAGGGCATACTAATACGGGTCAAGATTTAGGTTTCAAAGAGTCGGGGTCGGGAACTCGTGAAAAGTGCATTTTGAAGACATCGGTCAGGTCCTAGACGTGGGCGCCAGAGCTTGGCTTGGCGGACGTGAGTGTCGGAACTCGTTGAATTAATTGATTTTCGTATTGTATTGAAGTTGATGTTTAACTTGTTCTGTTGTCTGTGGATTGATCCTCGTTTACTCAATATAAATGTACCATGAACCTTCACTTAATATAAACGTATCCAATATAATTTTGTTGATGTGTCTTAAATTTAATAATAAAAAAATATAAATTAATATGATTATTTAAAAATTGTGTCGATATGTTTTAATTAAAAATAATTATAAAAAAAATAAGGGGTCTGTTAAATTTTAACTTGATCATTGACTAAATTTGGACTTGTTGTGCGTGCACAACTGGAAGCTAACTAATATATACATTGACATGGGATACCAGACCCTGAAAGAACAAACCCAACAAATCGGTCGACTAAGCCAAGTGAATCGGCTGGTCGAACAGAACAGCAGGAAGGCCGTGGGTGGTCAATCGTCACAAGCATAGGACCAGAAGTCTTCAGATCGAAGACAACACAAGGGGTATTGGGAGGCAATGAGAAGTCAAGCTAGGGCTTTCGGATGGCCTGTTGGAAACTCGACATGTAGGCATGGGTGGTCATATGATCGACCAAGAAGGACAACCTCGGGTGACCTCGAGCTGGCCGCACCTTTAGGTAGTCTAATAGGAAAGTTTTTATAGGGTTAAGAGCCGCACGTGAATAGGGTCACATAGCTTAACTGAATTGAGCTGTTTTTGTTGTATGTTATCAGTATTTTTACCGGAGTAGAATCAAAAGATTCGTTCCCCGGGTCGTATCGCAAGGAAGGTTAGCCGGATATTCTTGCGCGTTTATTCAATCATGAAAAAGAGAAGACAAATTCCTAAAATTCTAATTCAAAATTTTTGGGTTTCAATTATCAACTAATGATTTAAATTAAATAAAATGAAAGTAAAATGCTAAATAAATTCACTGAATGATTAAAGAGCTAGGGAATCGGGGATAATTGTTTTCGGTTCTACCACAATTACCGGCAAGGACTTGAATCGTTTCTCGTTCAGAGGTTCACTCTCAATAACTCTTCGTAACAAGAGAGTGAATGTAAACGATCTACTATCAATTCCATCAACACATAGACTATACGTTTCCGAACAAGTTTATTCTAAACGAGCTTAAATTGACCAACGTCTCCCCTCTCGGTTCTATACGTTGATTATTTAGGTTAGAATGGTGATCAATCAACTAACCCTATAATTCACACAACTCGCATAGATATGAACGATCAAAAGCATCCAATCATTAACGAACCTAATCAATCATCCCTTATCCCTAGCGAATGGATTTAGCTACTCATATGGAGTTCAACATCAAAATTCATATAGACCCAAGCCATCATCATCAACAAAGTAATTGAGAAAAAGAACTTACGATTAATAATGAGAATCTCAATGTCAAATCCAATGAACAATCCAAATCCAAAGTGAGAAAAAGGATTTTTCAATCTCCAAATCCAATCAAAAGAGAAAAAGCATGAAAAGGAATGAGTTTCTAGAGAGAAAAAGCGTAAAAAATAAAATCTGGAAGTGAATTATGAGTCCTAAGTCCAAAATCTGATGTTAAAACCTGCATCTCAAAATTCGCGTCGATAAGTCACGAGTCGCGACTTCCTATATCACCTCGAGTCGCGAGTCACGCGTCGTCAAGATCTTCAAATTCTGGGGCTGGTCGCGACTTCCATCTCGCGAGTCGCGACTCGAACGCGCGTACTGCCACTTAAGGCTTTGTTTTTCTCGCGAGTCGCGACTCGGGCTGCACTGCGCCACTTTACGTTTCGGGCTCGTTTGGGCTCGTCCGAACTCGGAATTGAGTTTTGTTTTTTGCTATGCGTCGCCAACGAAACCATCTATCCAATTATGCTCTCAAAACCAACTTTTCCTGAAGAGAAATTTCGCTCGAAGCTCCTGACCTGCACACAAAAAACGACAAAACACAAAAGAAAACCGAAAAAACAAACGAAAAATACCTAAAGACTCAAGATGAAGGAAAACACATAATAAAACACGAAACGGACTAAAAACTAAAGAAACGACCTAAAACGGGGGGAAAAAAAAAGATAAAATAAACACGAAAAACGCAATAAAAATGGGACAAACATTGTACTATCAGGCAGTTCGGGCAATATTGGGCAACAAGTTATCATCTCCCTATATAAAAAGGAGTGATGTATCTTCATTATCACATTACATTCTTTATTATTCCAAACACTATTTTCTACACTAATCTTCTGCAAGTGCTTATTTAAGCATCGGATGCTCTTCATTGGAAAACTCCTCAAATGTAAGAGTTTTTTTTTTAGGTTCGCACGATCTACCTACGAGGAAGCTCGAGTTCAGGCCGTTTCATGCCAATCGGAGGTCTTTTCCGTACCATACATATATAAATATAAATCGACCTCCAACTTCCATTAATCTAACGTATTTTATTTGTCAACAACTAGATTAAAAAACAGGGAAATGCTATGGTCTGTTACAGAACCACCCGACGGGATGATTCCAGGAAAATAGCATTTCCCAAAGAAACAAGAGTAAATAAATAAAAATAACCAAATATAAATAAATAAATAGTCAAGACGAGGTTAATTTGGAAATCCTGCGCACTACCCCCACAAGGCCACACAACCCACCAACGAATAGCTTTTCTCAGAGACTTTCCAAAAGCGGAAAAAGCCAAAACCAGGTCCCTTCCGGTGAGGTTCTCCGGCGATCGGAAAGCGTATTCAATGCCAACCTCGGAGGAGAAAACGGACGGCAAAGCGTGGGGGCTTTTCAAGCTCCCTTTCCGGAACTCTCAGTCGGCGACGTTGTCCTCCAATTTCTCTCACTACCAGCAGAATTACGGTCATGGGAGCAGCAACGCTCACTCTCAAGTGGAAGGATCGGGCGCTCAGGAAAATTCCGGAAGCTCGGTTTCCTCGGTGGCCAGATCTCTTCTCCCCACGCGCCGTCGTCTGAAGCTTGATCCTTCAAATAAGCTCTATTTCCCTTGTACGGCTCTTCATCCCTTTTTCTACTTTGCTTCTGTTCACTACTCGTTTGATGGTCAAGGAACTTGTTTTCTGTTAGGTTTGCAATTTTTTGGTTGATAATTTTCTTTTTATGTGATTTAGTCAAGAACGATCTTTTTTTCTATATGGTGAAAGTTTGAAATTCTGTTTCCTTTTCTCTTTTCTTTTTTCCTCCTAAGTTATCGTGTACTGTATTTCTTGTTGATTTGATGTTTTTGTGTGGATGATTATGATCATAATTGTTTGCCTTCAGCAAGAAGAATGTTACTGATCTTTGTAATTCTGCCAAGTAAAGCTTGTCACTTTAGGTCCATTGGAGTAGTTAGAAAAATAGAAGGTCAAGTAGTACAACAGCTTAATCTTTAGAAGTTATGAATTGGGGGAATACAAATTATTGTATGAAGCTGCCTAACCGTCAAGCCATTTGACCCGTCATACTGTTTTTTATAACAAAAATGCATATGAAATGCCGTACTTTTGTTTATGTTGTGTTTTAGAGTATGGCATTTCAGTTTAAAAGTATGCAAAAGTGTGAATTTATAGCCGTTACGCCTGCCTAACAGTAGTCTACTGATTAGCGAAAAGCTTTTTCTTTGTGAAACTACATTTTTTACCAGCATTCTTCATGTCCCAGGAGGAGGCAATTGGTTGTTATATGTAGTTCTGAATTAGATACTGCTTTTGAGTGTTTGAGACGTGCATGCTTTTTGCTTACAGTACGCTTTCTTTTTTTGAGGCACTTATTTCTTGAAACCCACTATTAGCATGGCTTTTTTCATGACCCTAATCATCTGTGATCGCAAGACATGCACATCATAGTTTTCTGTTTTCTCAATACTGGCAGTGTGGTTTTATTGTGGGAAATTTGCGAAAAATGCCTCTTTTATCATTGGGTTTACGGCAATACCATTGTTATCTATTACAAGGTGGAAAAAGAAAACAACTGCTATTACAACCAATGTGGCTTTTTGAGAAAAGATTGGAAAACTGAAAAACTGACATTTTTTTTTTCATATTTTTCTTTTATTACTGATATACTTCCCTTTTCCTTTTAACTATTGGCAGATGAGCCTGGTAAGCAAGTCAAAAGTGCTATCAAAATAAAAAATACAAGCAAGTCTCATGTTGCTTTCAAGGTATGCCAAGCACTGATCTCCTTCTCTCTTGCTATTCATACGAATGCTGAACACTTAAAATAAAAGAGGGCTATTGCTGTAAGACAGTTACTTATGAATGTATATGTTTGGGTTTAGGCAATGGATCATCATGCGTAGAAAATTCTAGTTTGATATTGTTTCTTATGAGTGATATTTGTTCACTGTTTACGTTCCAGTTCCAAACAACTGCCCCTAAAAGCTGCTTTATGCGTCCTCCTGGCGCCATTCTTGCTCCTGGCGAGAGTATAATTGCAACTGGTAATCATTTGGCTATGAATTTTTGCACCTCTGTTTTCTGGTAATCATTTGGCATGAATATTCATGCACTCGTTGGCTAAAAGTGGATCTTGAAATTCTTTGTTTACATCAGTATTCAAGTTTGTAGAGCCCCCTGAGAACAACGAAAAGCCAATTGATAAGAAAAGCCGGGTGAAATTCAAAATCATGAGCCTCAAAGTGAAGGGGCCAATGGACTACATATCTGAAATGGTTCGTCCCTTGTTTATCCTTCTCTTTGCCTGAAAAAAAAGAACACACTTAAAAAATAAAAATCTTTAAAAATATATATTGATGTTAAGTGAACTCTTTTTCTTCGGAATTAAAATCTGTTTCATTTTACTTTGTGTTAGTTCGATGACCATAAGGATCAAGTGGCTGTCGAGCAGATACTTCGCGTAGTCTTTCTGGATGTCGAACATCCGTGTCCTGTAAGTGATTATTTTTCTTTGAAAACTCGCTAATTCTCATTCTAAGTAAAAAATTCAAAACACCTTTTTTGCTTTACTTTTGAAGGCTCTCGAGAAATTAAGTCGCCAGCTGGCTGAAGCCGAGGCTGAACTCGAGGCCCGCAAGAAGCCTCCGGAGGACACGGGCCCAAAGTTCATTGGAGAAGGACTTGTAATCGATGAATGGGTGAGTTATCATTTCAGCTTAAAATGTGAAGTTATACTCAGTGTCATCTTGATTTGATCTTTAACGTTAAAAATTTTCTAATTTTTTTCCCTTTTGCAGAAAGAAAGAAGAGAACGATACCTAGCTCGACAACAAGGGGAATTGGTGGATTCTGTATGAGTAAAATTTTATCTTTCTGGTTTTAAAATATCAGGACTGTACTCTGTATGGGTGTATTTAAGTTGTTTTTTTAAATGGTATCTGTTGTCAAAGGTTAGTAGGAGATAATGGACACTCTTTTTAAGTAAAAAAATGTGACCAATGACTAGTTGAATCTGTGACCTCAGGTGTGTAGGCTTGTGGCAATTCCCATAGTGTCTTTAGATATTTAGTTTTGTTTATCAAAAGAGAGAATTTATATATCCTTTTCTGTTTTTGATATTTAGTTTTGTTTATCAAAAGAGAGAATTTATATATCCTTTTCTGTTTTTGATATAATAATTTAAATTGAAGGGTGAGGACTTCTTTGAGTATGTGTTGGCTTTGTGGGGGTTCATTTAGTAGATATTGTTTCTTAATTCACAATATCTATTATTATCAGACAGAAATTTCAAATGTAGATTCAATCTCAGTCAATTTCAATTGATACCAGATGAACCAAATTTACTGATTATCAACTACAGTTTTCTTTTCACAAATTCGTCTTTTTTTGTTTGTTTGTTTGTTTATCCTTCTTACACATTTTATGAAATTATAACTAATTTATAGAGCGGTAAATGAGTCGAACTGAGTTCGAGATTCTGATACTCGAGTCTCTATTGAACTGACGTGAACTTAGCTCATTAACTTAACGAGACGATAGATGAGCACGGATTTTACACATTAACGAGCCGAATTATGTTACAAGTTTTAGGAAATTATACAATAAACTCAATTTTTCACGCTTAGTGAGAGAGTCGTTAACTAAAAGAGACTTAAACGAAACAATATTCCTGTGGGCGTGGGTCCAAGCAAATCTACACACACAGCACACAAGAAACACAAAACCATCGTCACCCGCCAATTGATACTCTTCAACAACTCTGCCTATATATACATACAAACCTCACCTAATAAAGCTAAGATTGAATGAATATTCTAAAGATAAACAGAACTGAAAACATTTGNTCCGAGATGCGAATAGAAGCGAGTCGTGTAGGAGGAAAACCGAGGGTGATGAGTCCATACACAGAGTCATGTACTTGAACTGCTGGACACTGAATTAGTATATATATATATATATATATATATTTTATTCAAACATTTTCATATTATACTGATGAATATTGAATTTGGGAATTTGGAAGTCCACTTTTTGTAAGGATCCGGAATTTTGGTCCCATGTTGGTTTCTTGTTTGCTGCTGCTAAAAATTCTCATGAGCTGCTGTTGGCGTAAAAGTTCTCATTTTTGGTGGTTAGCGTAGCGTAAAGGTGCTTAGCTTAAACATATTCAAATCTTCTAAACAAACAAAATTAAGTTATCTATCTATCTATCTATATCTATATATCTATCTATCTATATCCATCTATCTATCTATATCTATCTATATCTATTCTATATCTATACTATTATAAAAGGACGAGTGATTTTGTAAAAATAATAATCTGCCTAAGAAACTCTTAGTTTGACATATTTTTAATGGCAAATTAGTAATACAGTAATACCCATCTTATTTTATTTTTTTAATTAACAAATGAACTACCCAAATAACCCTTACTTTGAATGGCAAATTAATACTACACCAATAATCATCTTATATTTTTAATTAATAACTAATATTTAATTAATTAAATATAGATACATGAACAAAATATTTCAGCTCTCCTAAAAATAAATCTCAACATTCTCATACCATTATTCATCACCCATTTATTTTTTCACATATCTGTCAAACTGTTTTCTTTCATATCTCTCAAAAATCAACCCAACAAAGCTATGAAATGATATATAGTTGATGTTTTGGAAAACGTCTTTATTTTAATATAATTTTAATGTAAAATTATAATCATATATTTTTAACTAATAAATGAACTACCTAAAAAACACTTACTTTGACTTATTTTTAATGGCAAATTAGTCTCCTAAAAATCAGCCTTAATATTCTCATAGCATTATTCCTCACGAATTTGCTTCTTTCACATATTTGTCAAACTTTTTTTTCATATTCCAAAAACTCAACCCAGACAACAAAACTTTGAAAAGATATGTAATTTATGTTTTGAAAAATATTCTTATTTTTAATATTATTTTAATGTAAAATTGTAATTACTTTAATTAATAACTAAAACTACTACATGAAAGTTGTTGTTGTATGAAATTAACAACTCGAAATAACTAACAGCAAGGTGTGTTTAAGCGAAAATAAACATGAAAATGTATATTATTAATGATTTCACAATAGTACAGGAAGTCGGTTTTTTGTTCTTGACCGAGATCATTTCAAGTCCGTGTACAATGTGCGGAAAAAGATCCCCGTACAGTTACAAATTCTGCTATTTATAGTACGGTCTATTTTGTCGTTTTGTCCAAATGAGATAAGATCGCTTTCCACGTAGAGCAGCTTCCCTAAAGCGGCGTGTAACAGGATTAGGGAACATCAATGATTGTTGCTTGAAGTGTTGGTCCAATTGGAGATATGCGACACCTCCTGCTTGGAAATTCGATCTTCTTTTGATGTATATCGGATAAGAAATCATCTGGAACATGTCGGTAGATGATAGATAGAAGTCGGTACTTTAGGCTCTAGGACATGTCGGTTATTCAGTAGATAGCCAAGCTGTAGGGAAGTCGGTATTAACTTCTTTTTTTTTTACCGACTCGAGTGCAGTTTGTTGTATTTCAAAGGTTATCAACGAAAGGGTAAAGAAATAAACATGATCTCTGAGGTTAGACCATGTAAAACCAAGTCGGTTATCAACAAAAGTTTTAATGTTTAAGAAATAATACACAAAGAATTGCTATATTGTAATAATAAATACAACGGTCAGACATTCTACTGAAAATCGCAACGAATAGTATTCATTGGTATAGCGAATAAATATACATATTCTAACAAACCAGAAAACTTGATCAATAATAATTAATATTTAGTTAAATAAATATAGATACACGAAAAAAAAAATCTAGATCTCCTAAAAATCAGTCTCAATATTCTCATACCATTATTCCTCACGAATTTGCTTCTTTCACATATCTGTCAAACTGTTTTCTTTCACTCCAAAAAATCAACCCAGACAACAAAACTTTGAAAAGATACATAATTGATTTTTAATGTAAAAATCGTAATTACTTTAATCTATATATATATATAATTGCTGGCAAACTTCAATAAATTTTATTCAGCCAACAATTAATAATAATATGAGTTCATTTACTAAAAATAGGTGTTCATGTAATAAAAATAAGTTCACCATTTAATAATAATATGTCACTTTCAGTTACACAATTTATTTTGACGGGTCTCATTTTGAATGGTGTTCATTTATGTAACGCCTTTTTATGTCCTGAAATACAAAATATTTTAGGTTTTATTTTGATACTATATATTTTTTGGTATTATATAAATACATATTTCACAACTAATTAAAAATGACTACAAATATCTCTATTTTCTATTGCAGTCATACAATGATAAAAAAATATTTTTTCGGGACACATCAAATATTTTGTAAAATCATATCCCAGAATCATGAGTCGAAGAGATTTAACGATAATGATTTGTTGTGATGGAGATTCTGACAATGTGAAAACCACGAATGTTGTATATAAAGAAGTATTTAATAATATTCAGATTCGTTTTTTTTTCTCATTTACAACAGTCAGACATTCCACTGAAAATCGCAACGAATAATATTCATTCGTATAGCGAATATATATACATATTCAAACAAACTAGAAAAGTGGATTAATTCATTTAGCCACTTCGTTATTTAAGAAAAATAAAATCTTATATTTAGAAATTACACCTTATATTTATTGAATTGAATTTTTATCCCACAAGAAAACGTTATTTATGTAGTTGTTTGATTATTTTTTCCAATTTTGGTCACAAGGCCAATAAAGTTAACGATTTTCACCTGACCATTAGGTGAAGAACATATGAAAGAACAATATAAAGTACAAAAATATAAAATTTGCTAAATATTATAAAAATATAATTAAATTGTCATACTTACTAATAAATATGAAAAAAAGTAATAAATAAAAATATTATAATTAATAAAAAAAATATAAAACTTTTAAAATTGTACTTATCGATGCAAACGAACTGAATTGTTCAATGCTTGTTAATTTTTTATGCTTATTAGTTCTATATGTAAGTTTTAGGTATTAGACAATAGTTATTTTTACTTTTATCCATGTAGGTTAGAACTTTTATTTTTTAGAAAAAAAATGATTATTTTAATTTTAAAATATATATATATATATATATATATATATAATGTCTCTTATCTTATCTAATATAAAGATGTTTGGCACTGTGCAGAAATTATTTTTTTAATCTTTACATATTGCATGTTATGTTGACACATGTCAAGAGCTATTTTTTTTATTATTTTTGTTATTGGATTTGTTTTGGTTGGATTACGGAGTGCCCATACCTAACTTTTGTGAGGTTATGTTTGTTATTAACTTTTTTATTTGTTTGATTGTTGCAGAATAGAGCTCATAGTCTTAATGCTGCAAGTTTGATGTTAGGTTGTATAGTATTAACTTCAAGTTTTTTAAATTTTTTATGAAAGTAAAAAGTTATTGAGTGCATAATCAAGTATGTTATAAAGAGATTTAACACAATGTGCTGACTACATTTATACCTATAGTACGGTAATTGGTAATATCAAATTGGTTCATGTTAGATGATTGTACTTGAAATTAAATTGGTTCATGTTAGATGATTGCACTTGAAATTGGAGACGACAATAAGCTAACAACGCATTACCATACACACGCAAATAGAGAGAAACTTTAAGTGATTTCTTGAACTATTCAAATCAGCTCACGATGTATTGATCAGATCATTCAAGCAGCTCATGCAACTTGCACCAGAAAGTGAAGGAATCAGACAACAGGCTGAAAGCTGGTGATGCCTGGTGATGAATTTCTCATTGGCGAATATAAATCTTATATGGACCCTGATAAGTATGCAGTTGAAATGGGGTCACTTTGTGACGTTTTCGATTCTGATGAACCTTGGTATTTATGGATGTTGCTGCTAAACTAAAGAATGGAAATTTCAACAGAGAACCACACTCTGATCCGAAAATGGGAAGAAAGTCGATAAGATAATGACTAACAGAACCTTCCATTGTTTTGTTAGGGGTGTGTGAACCAATCCCTCGTGTACCACAACCAGTCAAGAGTCGTTTCAGATGGCAATAAAAGTATCCTTGATCGGAGGAGTTTACGTGCGGTCTTGATGCTTATTTAAGCGTTGGTGCTGGAAATAACAAATCTTTCTTTTCTGCTACTGGGGCTCTTTCGAGTCCTTTCGAGTCGGTTGTATTTTATTAGGTAAAAAATCTTTGATTGAAAAAAGGAAGTCAAGAAGAGTATGGTCAAGAAGAGTATGGTCATCACTTATTAGGTAAAAATATTTGATTGAAATAAAGTTTTTTCGATCCAAAACGATTATAATGTGAAAAATGAACAATATGAGGTAATATAATCATTTTCGAAATTCTTATGCAGGATCTGGGAACAAAACTAGCAACAAGAGTATGGTCATCACTTAAGGTCGTTCCAAAGATGTACGTGAGCCCAGCCCCTATGACCGAATGGATTGTTAGCGACTTTGATGTTTTAGTTCATAAAGATGACGAAGACGGGTGGCTGAGGTATATGTAGTGTGTGTTTATATATATAGTCTTCATCGAAAGGAAATAGAAATGAATGTACAATACTATGTAATGTGTTTCCTCATCTTCTCAATGAGGTCCTTTTACCTATTTGTGGTAATTTTTTGGTACAAAATGCTTTGTTTGTGTTTGGTGCACCAGAATATTATCCCTGCAATCTACACTTGTCAAAACGGGCCTGGGCCTGCGGGCCGGCCCGCCCCGCCCCGCCCCGCCAAACAGGTGGGTTGGGTTGGTATTTTATAGGCCCGCCAAACGGCGGGCCTAAACGGGCTGGCCCGCGCGGGCCGCGGGCTTTGGCGGGGCGGGGTGGGCGGGCCGCGGGCCAGCCCGCCATAAAAAAAAAAAAAAA